CCGAGCACTCTTCACCCACCCTGTGGCCATGTTCCCTTGCCCTAGTCCCATCCTACAGGAATATCCTTTGCAAATGGCCCCTCATTGCCTTCTCTTCTCCTTCCCCCCGTTTCTGTACTGGCTTCTTCCTCCACATTTGTGGTTGCTCATCTGCTCTGACCTCAGTTTCTAGGTGTCCCAACTTTGGATGGACAAGACATACCCCAACGAAAGCCATGCTCAGGCCACAGCTGGCATCACAGCTTCCCTCAGTTGTTCTCAAATCTAAAGCAGGGGTGTCCAATCTTTCGGCTTCCCTGGGCCACATTGGAAGCAGAAGAATTTTCTTGGGCCACACATAAAATATACTAATGATAGCCGATGAGCTAAAAGACAAAAAGCACCCCCCAAAAATCTCATAATGTTTTAAGAAAGTTTACGAATTTGTGTTGGGCCGCATTCAAAGTCATCCTGGGCCGCATGTGGCCCTCAGGCCAAGGGTTGGACAAGCTTGATCTAAAGTGTTAGCTCTGGTTGCCCACCATCTTCCCCCACACTGCCTTCTCCACTGCTGAGCCATGAATAGGCCCTCAACACCTTCCCACAACCTGACCAGGCTTGTTGTTAAGACAGCTCTCCACACTCCCCAGTGGCTGTTTTCCGGCTTCTCACTCCTGTCACCATCACCCTCCTTCTTTCCTCCTCAGTTGATGGCTTTTCCCATCCTTCATGTGGGTACCACTGGACTCAATACAGATGCCGCTGGACAGAAGTCCCCCATGTACCACACTTCCACATCTGCAATCTTTGCTGTACTTTTACCCATACATTGACTCACATCCTCATCATCTCTTCTGCTCCTATTCACATTAACTTTCTCTGACAAATTTCTGTACACAGACTCCTCTTGCAGGCTCTCCAGTCTCACCCCAACCACTCTACTCAAAGCACCCTTGTAACAGTCACCAAGGACCTCCATGTGGCCATGTGCCATGGATGCTCATCATGCCTCTTACGTGACCCCTGATTAATATTCACTCACATCTCCTTACAGTTCTTGTCTTGCCACTCCTAACACCTTGCTCTCCCTGTTTCTCTGACTCAGTCTCCTTTGAAATTGACTATCTCTAGCTTCTCTCCAGGTTAGAGTTCCTTAGAAAGTTTCCCCTTCTGCCCTCTTTCCCAGGGTGACCTCACCTAACCCCATGGCATTAAATACCAGTTGATTTATCTCCAGACCAGACCACTTCCTGAGCACCACTCTTATTTCCAGCTGCCCCAGCGATGTGTATGATTTGATGTCCCACAAACATTTCTAGGTCAACATTTCCTAACCAGAACTGTTCATTTTCTCCCACCCACAAATCTGTTACTTTCCGAGTCTTCTCTAGCTCAGTGAATGATAGTTGCCATAAAGGATATAACAAGGATTTGCCAGGCATCTCCCAGGACCTGTTAGCTACTGTATCCCTCATTTAACAATTATAATATGAGAGAATGATATCTATCTTCAATTGACTGATAAGGAAATAAACTTATAGGTTAAGTCACTTGCCCTGGATCACAGTGGCAAAGCCAGGATAGGGACTCAGGTCTTGATTCTAATGGCCTTGCTCTTTCTATTCCACTCACATCTTTTCAAATTGTGACTCTTGCTTAATAATCTGGAGACAATTTTCATCCTTAGGCCCCTGTAGGGCCACCATGTTGCATACTTCTAAGGGGACATTTACTATGTCATCTGTGAGGATGGCGGTTCCTGGAGTTTTGCAGAGACGGTCATTCACATGAAATAGAATGAGAGTGAGTCCCTCAAGGCGGGCAGGGTGGTGGCCGTGACTACTGTCATTTTGGCTTTCTTTGTCCCCTCCCATCCCACCTGACTCCATTCTGTCTCAGCTCTTCCCCTCTCTTCCACTCCATCTATTCTGCTTGCCCTGCCTACCTCTGGCCAGGAACTCTGTCAGACTGTGACACAGAGATGAATCGGTTATGGCCCCTGAGCGTGAGGAGTATAGAAGTGTATCAGTCAGGGTTCTCCAGAGAAACAGAACCAATAACATGAATAAATAAATACACATGCATGCACACACACCACACACACACTTCCTATCTGTCTGTCTATCTGGTTAAATTTATTTCAAGAAATTGGCTCATGCAGTTGTGGGGGCTGGTAAGCCCAAAATCCATAAGGCAGGCCAGCAGGCTAGAACTTCCGGCAAGGCTGACGTTGCCTGCAGTCTTGTTCTGAAGGTGGGAAACACAGGCAGAATTTCTGTGTTGCAGTCTTGAGGCCAAATCCTTCCTCTGCAGGGGACCTGAGCTTTTTCTCTTAAGGTCTTTAAATGATTGGGTGAGGCTCACCCACATTATGGAGAGTCATCCGCTTTACTTAACGTCAGCTGATTGCAAACATTAATCATATTGAAAGAAAAAACCTTCACAGCAATATCTGGACAATTCTCCAGATATTTGATCAAACAATTGGGCACCACAGCCTAACCAACTCAACACATAAAATGAGCCATTACATGTAGGTCACAGTCAGTGGCAAGAACACAGATGAGAGAACAGTCAGCCCATACACCTTCTGGTTCCTGCCGGGCTAATGGATAGGAAGGTCACTTCCTATCAGTGGCAAGGACACAGATGAGAGAACAGTCAGTCCATACCTTCTGGTTCCTGCCAGGCTAATGGATACGCTGTGGGATGCACAGGAGGAGTGATTCAGATTTCCAGAAGGGACAAATGGACAGAGGAGGTGAGCCTTGAAGGTGAGACAGAGAAAGGAGCAAAGACGTCCCAGGCCAATGGTGCAGCCTATGCAATGGAAGACAGGCCTGAGAAGCACAAGGCTACAGGAACGTGGAGGTCCAGAGGCTGGAGCTCCCCTCACATGCATGCTGGGATGTGAGGGGAGGGGCTGGCCCCTCAGTGCACTGCCTCGAATATCACAGTAAAGTTTGGACCCAGTGATTCAGCAACCATCATTTTTGTCAGACCAGCTGAGCCTAAATCAGTAGCTTAGAGCCCATCATACTGTAAGAAATGGATATTCTTCCAGAATTGTATTTTCTGTCCTAGGAAGCAGGACATTCAAGCATTATTTTAACTCTACCTGGCTACCTGAGACTTTAAGGGCTTAAATCTTACATCAATTTTTCTTCTTAATTTAAAGCAATTTGAAAAACTTCTTTAGTTATAGAAGTATTTTTTTCACTGCAAAATATTAGAAAACTATAGGAAAACAAATAATAAGATAAAAATTGACTAGAATATCCTGGCCAAGTGGTAACTACTATTAATGGTTTGGTCGGTTTTCTGCCCATCTATTTTCCATGTCCATAAATATGCATCTGTCCTCTGTTCATCTCTGCGGCCGGTGTCTGCTGCTCTCCCATCCTGTGCTGGGCCAGGCCTCTCCCTTTCCACTCGTCCATGCATAGTCTGTTTGCTCTTCTGAAACTACCTCTTCTCCTAATGAGGGCAGGGCAAGGTCTGCCTTCCTCAGAATTGTATCCCCATAGCCTAGAATACGAGGCACTTAATATTTGTTGAATAAATAATTTAACGTATAAATATGATGTTTTAGGTTTAAGCAAAAAGACACGTGAACATAGTTTAAGTACATATATTTTGTGAATCTATTAAAAGGGCATCTTTTTTTTTTCTTTTTTATTATACTTTAAGTTCTAGGGTACATGTGCACAGCGTGTAGGTTTGTTACATATGTATACATGTGTCATGTTGGTGTGCAGAACCCATTAACTTGTCATTTACATTAGGTATATCTCCTAATGCTATCCCTTCCCCCTCCCCCCACCCCACAACTAATGTTGAATAATGTTTGTTTATATATCTTCCTTTTTCTTGTCAAGTAAGAATTTATTATGAGCATTTCCCCCGGCATCAAATATTCTCATATATATATATATATATATATATATATATATACATATATATATATTTATTTATTTTTGAGACAGAGTCTCACGCTGTCACCCAGGCTAGAATGCAATTGTGCAATCTCGGCTCACTGAAACCTCTACCTCCTGGATTCAAGTGATTCTCCTGCCTCAGCCTCCTGAGTAGCTGGGAATACAGGCACACGCCACCACGTCCAGCTAATTTTTTGTATCTTTAGTAGAAACAGGGTTTCACCATCTTGGCCAGGCTGGCCTTGAACTCCTGACCTCGTGATCTGCCCGCCTCAGCCTCCCAAAGTGCTGGGATTACAGGCGTGAGCCACCGTGCCAGTCCTATTTTTTTAAAGGACTCCTTAACATAATTTTTAAGGACTCCGTAAGACTTCATCATATAGATGTATTGCAATTTATCCATATTTTTCTGCTAGATATTTTTTTATCCTATTATAAATACCATTTTTCCAACATGGAAAATGCTGCAATGAACATCTTGACCTTAGCTCCTTGTGCACATTTTTATTCCTGCTTTAGAATGCATTTTTATAAGTGTAGTAGTTGGGCAAAAGGGCAGAAATATTTTTATGGTTCTAGAAACATATTTCCAAACTCCAGAAAAGCTATAGAATTTTCTACTTCTGTCATGCCAGCGATTCAGGGTATGATTTTGGTAACTGTTTCCAATTTGACAGGTGAGACTGGCACTTTGTTTGAATTTGCACTGATTTTATTTTTACATCTTGGAGACAGCTAGCCTAGTGTTTTCAAAATGTGCCTCATCATACGAATTACCATCTGAATGAAAATATTCCAGAGAGCAGCCTGTATTTAATAAGCAACAAGGCAAGTGTGGGAAGCCCTGCACTCAAAAATAGAGAAACTGAGGACAGAGGAGAGCAGGGAGGTGCCCAAGTGAGGATGCTGCTAAGTCCCATCCTGGCATCCCAGCCAGAGCTCCTCACAGCAAACCTTTCGAAGGCTGCTCCGGGCCACCTCCTCTGACTTGCACATCTGAGAAAGCAGCTGTCTCATGGCTTCTTTCTTTTTCTCTTTCTCAAAAATAACAACAACAAAAGTTCAATACCTGAAAAGTGAACCATGAAACTCAGTAAAAAGGACCAAGGAGAAGACGAAGAAAGTGATTCAGCGAAAAAGAAATTGGTCAGTGCTTTTTTTTTTTTTTCTGTCTCCCTTATATGACTATTCTGGTCACCCAGGGGGTAGTTCCCCCTTCCCCCTGGGTCAAGGGGAGGCTGTTAAGGTGCAGCTGGGCAGAGAAAAGAGTGAGCAGCAGCTGAAAGCCAAGTTCTATGGGAAGGCGGCATCAGGATTGTAGAGTGTATGGGGTGAGGCTCAGAAGAGTGAAATTGACAGTCCTGATCTGCTGGTGACTTTCTGGGCTTGGGGCAAAAGTCTCCATTACAAAGGTCATTTCTCAACAAGGGGACATTGATGTTGACAATGATTATGTCATCATCCTTAAAGATACACTAAAATCCACCCCCTAATCCATCACAAGGCTTAGTCCACCTGCCCCTTCCTCCAGGAAGTCCTCAGCAGCTATTAATAGAATGACTTTCTTTCTTCTTGGGACTCATCAGACCCTCTCTTTAAACCTGATTCGAGAACCAATAGCCAGAGAGCGCCTACTCTGTGCTGGACCTTTACATAGGGCTCCCATTTAAAGACAGACTCTTTACATGGTTCTGTCTGGATCAAACCGTGGTGAGGGCATCACTAGCCCTATTTTACGGCAATGAACTGAGGCTCAGAAAGGGATGAAGCCACTGTCCAAGGCTATGTGGCTAGTACAGGTTTGAATCCTTCTTAAACCTTGGACTATCTGTGCCTTGTCTCCTGTGATGAGTGTGGAAGCTACTGTGACTCCAGGGAAAATGTATTTGTATTTATAATAAACCTGTATTCGGTAGGACAGAGATCAACACAAGTCCATTTACCAAGTTGTCAACAAAGTGTGAAACTGGCAAACTGAACATCATTGTCCCCATAGAGGTGTGAAATGGATAAGGGTGCAGTCACCTGTTTGAGGTTACCCAAGACCCCGCACAAGAATAATGCCAAATAGACAGCAATTCTCTCTAAGTGGAGACTATATCTTTTCTTGGTGCTTACATTAGGTGAGTCAAGAATCTACTGTCTAAGTATTTAGTGTAATGAAGGAAGGGATGCAGTCATTTCAAACATTCTGCTTAAATGATACTCAATAGAAAACCCCCTTTCTTTTCCAACTCTTCCCTGCTAGGAAATTTCCACCTTGTCTAAGATAACTTTTTAGCCTTAGGAAATCATCCAGAGGACAGTTTAAGGTCAATTCCAGAAAGTGATGCCTATCTACTGGACCCCGTCCCTGAGCCAGGCTGGAGGAAGGCTAGGAATACAAAGAGGCTTAGGACACTGTGGGTTTGCTGAGGCTGCCATGACAAAGTCCCACAGGCTGGGCAGCTTAAACAACAGAAATGTATTGTCTCACAGTCTTGGAAGCCAGAAGTCCAAGCTCAAAGTGTCAGCAGGTTACTTCCTTCTGAAGCCTCCCTTCTTGGCATGAGTGGCTGCCTTCTGCCTGCATCCTCACGTGGTCATCCCTCTGTGTGTGTCTGTGTCCTCATTTCCTCTACCTATAAGGACACCAGGCATACTGGAATACAGCCCCATACGTATGACCTCATTTAACCTTAATTACCTCTTCAAAAACCCTATCTCCAAATACAGTCACATTGTAAGGTGCTGGAGGTGAGGACTTCAACATGTGAATCTGGGGGGACACAATCAGCCCATTGAGACGCACACTATCCCTGCCCGCGGTGAGCTCCTGTGCAGAGGGGAAGGCACGTGTGAGCAGCGCACATGGAGCACAGAGGCAGCAAGAGGTTGGGGAGGCTACTGGGAGGAGGTGGCGAGGGAGTTCAGTGTTGAAGGGTGAGCACAGTTCAGGGCAGTCAGAAGGGAGGGCCTGAGCAAGGTCAGGAGAACCTGAATGAGTGGGAACTTCATAAAGACAGGCAAGTTATGAGCGAATGAAGGAACCGATGAGTGTCAGAGCAGGCGGAACGTGCCCCAGCCCAGAACATCTGGGGATGTTTGTCTTATGACTTCATCTGTGATAGGAGTTGCTTCCTTAGCAGTTGCCTGGAGTGCGGGGCTGCTGGCCCTGTTGAATGGGGAACCGGTCCTGGCTTTGGAGGCGGGCTCCTGTATGCTCCCCCTGAACTTCAGTTGTTGCACCAAAATGTAGGTCTAATAGTTCCTCTGAGGACTGGATGGTATCATGAATGTGAACACACCTGGGAAAGTCCTGTGCATGTGTAATATGAGCTGAAGGTGAGGCAAGTGCTCTGGCTACCAGGAGCCCTGGTTAGCTGCCATCTGGGTCCGGGAGGGACCCATCCCCCCTCTCTTACTTTCTGTCCAGCTGTAGTTACACATTCATGTCAACTGCCTAATTCCTGGTGCCTTTTGAATTTGCAATCCCAACAGAGAACTACGAAGCAATTTTTAATGGGATGAGGGGTCACCTGATCCAATTTGCACTTTAGCAAAATCTGGTGAGGTCCCCACTGTTACAGATGCGGAAACAGGGAGGGTATACAGAGGGGAGTCACAGCAACGGGATGAGGAGGGGTAAACGAGGTGATGAAAATGCAGTCCCCATCAGGACAGCATAGGGGCAGAGGGGCCCTCCATGCATGGGGATGCGGCTGTCCCTGCCCCTCCTCTGCCCATCTCCTGCACTTCAGGCCCCAGCCATGCTCCACTGACAATTTCACTTCCTCCCACACACTGCAGGCATCTGTGCCTGCAGGCCTTGGCTCCTTGCCCTCTCACCCCATATCCTTCTCCATCTGCTCAGAAGCCGCCTCCTCCAGGGGGTCTCCGAGATCCAGCTGAGATTGGTGTGGTGCCTCCTCCATGCTGTCCTGGGGAATTCTGCCTTTTTAGGCCATGTTGTAATTAAGGATGTGCACATCAGAATGCTGCTCTAGGCCCACCACTCAATGAGGAAACCAGGCTGCACGGCTGAAATCCAGTTCAAGAAATACCCGCTTCTCCCAGGGGCGTGCCTGACAGATTAATATGCAGAAGGACGATTGCACTGAATGACTGGTGTGCTCAATACATCCCTAGCCTAACTCCTGAGGGGTCGTCTTCCTTTTTGCAAGTCTTGGTTCCCCACTTGCTGTGAGCAGCCACATTCCCACCACTGTGCATGTCGGGGCTGGATGTTTCTGTGTGCGTTTCGCATTCCAGGTTCCTGGCATGTCTGCTGTACTCCACACCTTTTATGTTAGTGTGTGCTTTTTACTAAACGTACTTTGCTAACTTTTTGGTCTCTCTTTTGTGGACTGAGCCCCACCTTGCCTCCTGGACATTGTGCATTCACCAAGCCTGTCCCTGGCTCTGGCCCAGCCTCTGCACTGCTCTCTGCTTCTGGTAACAAACTGTCCTAGCCAAAATTGAAGGTGCTTCTCTGGCATCTGAGGCAACATGGCCATGTGATGAATTGATTCCCACAACCTCCTGGCGTGCATGAGGTCCTCGCCTTCTCAACACTGTCCTTGAGCCAGCCTGGGGCTGGCACACAGGACATGTCCCGTCAGCCAGTGCTGAATGAGCAGGACGGAGTAATGACTAAGAGGCGAATTCTTTTTCTTCCAAACCCACAGCCCTCGCCTTTGTCCTAGGCTCCAGGATAGCCCACGCTCATTTCCAGCATGCCACTCGGGGCTGGCTGTTTTCTATTTGAGCTTCAGAATAAGTCTGCAGGACAGTCAGAGTGGGATCAATATTCCATTTTGCAGTGGTAGAAGTGGCAGCTCAGAGAATAAAGTGACTTGCCTGAGGACACACAGTTAAAAAGTGGAGGAGTCAGCCGGACGTGGTGGCTCACGCCTGTAATTCCAGCACTTTGGGAGGCTGAGGTGAGCAGATCACCTGAGGTAAAGAGTTCAAGACCAACCTGGCCAACATGGTGAAACACAGTCTCCACTAAAAACACAAAAATCAGCCAGGCGTGGTGGCGCACGGCCTGTAGTCCAAGCTACTCGGGAGGCTGAGGCAGGAGAATTGCTTGAACCCAGGTGGCGGCGGTTGCAGTGAGCAGAGATTGCATCAATGCACTCCAGCCTTGGTAACAGAGAGACTCGGTCAAAAAAAAAAAAATGGAGGAGTCAGGGGCAGAGCTGTATCCAGGCTTCTGTGTCAAATTCAGCCACCTCTCCATTCTGTTTCAAGCATTAGGGAGGTATCCTAGGTTAATGGCAGTCACCCTGCTCCAGGCTTTGTTAAGAGAGAAAAATAAAAAGATGCTAAGAAAAAAAAAAAAAAAATTCCACCCCCTGGGTGGTAATCCTGGAGAGGACAGATTTCCCTTTTTGGACTGTTTCGTTGTTGTAATAACTTAGGAGCAGGGAAAAAATGTTGCCCCGTTTCCTGTTCAGGCATGATCAAATTGCCACACTTCCTGTCGGGAATTCCTGCCCTCCTTCAAGTGGACTCTGCCTCCTCATTCACGGAGATGCCTTGGCAGAGTCCGGGGTCCCTGGACCGAGCCATCAACTGGGTCACCGAGACCTGTGGCAAGGAAACAAAATATGAATTCCAAGGAACTGGGCCTAGTTTCCCTCACAGATGACACCAGCCATGCCGGGCCTCCAGGGCCAGGGAGGGCACTGCTGGAGTGTGACCACCTGAGGAGCGGGGTGCCAGGTGGGAGGAGAAGAAAGGTAAATATAGACACCTTTTCTGCATGGCTGGAGGGCTGCGGGTAGGGCAGGCCTGGGTGGCAGCCATGTGACAGTGCTCAGCCCCAGCCTGGCAGCGTGTGGCTGGGGGATCTGGGGCTTTGAGGCAGGGAGGCCCCAGTTTGAGTTGCACTTCTCCATCTGTGTGACTTTGGCATACTCTCTCCAAGCCCCAGCTGACTGGGGCAACAGTGTCTCTGGTAGGCTGAGTGTGTACATGGAACGAGGCTATAGTGGCAGACTGCCCTGCCCCGTGCTTGTATGGTGGTGTCCCTCTTCTTACCCTCCCTGGGGCACGGCACGGGCAGCAGCGCCGTCAGTCAGTGGGCGCCCTCTGCCCCTGCAGTGAGTGGGGAGCGGGTGGAGGGCACAGGCGGGCCACACAGGCAGAGGGCTCCGGGGAGCACAGCTGAGGCAGGAGGAGACGGCCCCCACCTGCCCTTCACCAGCCTCTGGCAGGGGCACTTCACACCAGGTGCTCCCAATCTGATGGGATGCAGATAAGGGAGGAGTCTGTGTCCTCTAAGGACATCGGGGCTGGGAGCAAAGAAGGCACAGGGCACAGAAACGATGGCACAGTCCAGGGGCTCAGAAGAAGTGGTATCTGTGCTAAGACTCAGAGGATAGGTTTAAAGAGAAAGAATGATAGACAACAGGCGTTTCATCTGAAATGTGATTCTGTTCCATTGGGGATCCCCATTCAGCTCAAGCTCCTCTCACTGTAGAAAAATATTCTGGTCCTACATTTCACTTGGCAGCACCCATCCCCAAGGCTTATAAATGCTCCCTCTTGCCCCCGCATGTGATCAGCAGCCTCTACGGAGCACCTCCTCTGCAGCAGCTCCTCAACAACATATGTGGCCAGGGCTGCTATTGAGATCCCATTTCACAGGTGGGTAAGCTGAGCCCCAGAAAAGTCAAGTCACTTGACCAGGCTCCTACAGCTGATGGGGCCGTCCCTGGAGGTAAAGCTGATATCACTTGGCTCAAAGCCCCAAAGCTCTATCTTGTGGCTGGTAGCACTAGAGGAGACAAACGAGATGGGCAGAGCAGGGAAGTGGCCATTAGAGACCCACATTCCCTTCCAGATGGGATTTGACTGATTCGTGTCCCTGAACCATGGACCCATCTGTCTTCTTCACTGCTGCATCCCCACAGTGTTGTCAGGGCCTGGCGCCTACAAAACACACACACTCACAAATATGTCAAATGATGGCAAAGAAAGTGCATTCTGGAGCACCTGGTCCCTGTCCACTTGGCCCATATTCCCCCACCAGCTGAGGATGGCCGTCCCTCCTGCCCTGGCTTGTGCCAGTTTGTCAGCCTTTGCCAGGGATCCAGGTGTTTCTGCCCTGTGGCCCTGTCCTGGTGGTGGCTGTCTTTAGATGGGGCTGCAGGACAGGACAACACCAAGGCAGACACCCTGTTCTCTGTGCCAAACCTTGCATCTCTATGTCTGCATGCCCTTGTCCCAAGGCTTGGACCAGCCCCTGTAGTTTGACACCTCAGCCTAGAACAGTATGTGCATGTGTGTGTGTGTGCACATTTGTGTGGTGGTCAGCAACCTCAGGCCCCTGGACACTGCACTCAGGTGACGAGTCAGCAGGGGACTGTGCAGTGGTGACTACAGGGGCACTGAAGCCAGGCCACCTAGACTTCAGTCCCCATCACAGATAGCACCAGCCACGCTCCGTGCCCCTCTTTCCTCACCTGTAATACAGGATATAACAGCACTGATCTAAGGACTCAGAGACAATGCTCAGAAAGTGCTTAGAATCACGCCTGGCTGATAGCGCTTGGAGTCTGGCTTTGCATTTTTCTGTCCGGGTCGGACACTCGCCAAATTCGCTGAAAGGATCATGTGGAGCTGCTCAGAGCACCTGCTGAAAACTGCGTTTCAGGGATCCTCACGCAACCCGGAAGGAAGGCAAGGGCGTGGCCGCTAAACCTGAGGGCGCCCGGCCTGCGCACGCGGACGTGGACCGGAACCCTGTCTGCAGGCCTGCAATTTGCGTCTCTTCTCTCTGCCTCCATTCCAGCCGAGGACAACGACTTCTCCCCCGGAAGGCCTCCCCCAGCTGAGGGAACGTTCCAGGTCTTCCCTCGGACCTGGCTGCGCGCCCGGTGCCGGCTCTGACGTGATTTCCTCTCCCCCTAGGACTGGTCCTGCTCGCTCCTCGTGGCCTCCCTCGCGGGCGCCTTCGGCTCCTCCTTCCTCTACGGCTACAGCCTGTCGGTGGTGAACGCCCCCGCCCCGGTGAGTGCGCGCCAAGGCCCGGCAGAGGGCACTGCGGCCCCGCGGAAACCTTCGGGTGCGCAAGGGCCCTGGGCTCCTGGGTCTCGTGCGGGACGCCGCAGGGACAGAGTCCAGGCCCCACTCGGGGCGGGGGAGGCACAGAAACAGACAATGATGACACGGGGACAGGGGGCGGGAAATGACAGTTCTTGCGGCTGGAGGGTGGGTGTCCTGAGAGAACGTTGGGAGACTCGATGAGAGGGGGCTTCGGAAGTCCCGGGGGGGGGGGGGGGGGGGGGAGCTGTCCTCTGGCCCCTAATGCCGGGGAAAGGAGCAGGAGGGGCCTTATGCATGGAAACTTGGACATTTTCTTGATTTGTTTTGTTGTTGTTGGTATCTATCTATCTATCTTATCTATCTTATCTATCTCTCTATATCTCTATCTTATCTATCTCTCTATCTTATCTTCCTATCTATCTATCTATCTATCTATCTATCTATCTATCTATCTATCTATCTATCTTTGAGATGGAGTCTCACCCTATCACCAGGCTGGAGTCCAGCGTTGCGATCTCGGCTCACTGCAACCTCCGCCTCTCGGGTTCAAGTGATTCTCCGGCCTCAGCCTCTCGAGTAACTGGGGCTACAGGCGTGCGCCACTACACCCGGCTAATTTTTGTATTTGTGGAGATGGTGTTTCGCCATGTTGGCCAGTCTGGTCTGGAACTCCTGGCCTCAAGCGATCTGCCCACCTTGGCCTCCCAAAGTGCTGGGATTATAGGCTTGAGCCACCGCACCCGGCCTGTTGTTGTTGACTTTAAATTACAACCAGAGGCCACTCAGGTATCTGCTGGATAAGACCCGTCTTTGGCTTGTGGTTTACTCTGAAATCAGATCCAGGTGCAATTCTTCCAGGCCCTCTTCACATTGTGCCTCTGGTTTGCAGTTAAAGGTTGGGTCCCGCCTACCTAGGCTGTAAGGTTTAGGTGCTATCCTGTGGGTGCTGGCTTTGGTTTTGACCCACCACCACCCACGGGTAAGGGCAGGATGGAGGGTTAAGGGAAGCTTTCCTGCAGGAAGTGATGCCTGAGCAAGTTTGGAAGGTGGAGTGATGGATGGGGGCCCGGTTGTAGGACACATCTGGGGAAATGTAGGGAGCTCCAGGTTCTTGGAGCACAGGCTGTTTTGGGGGCAGACAGGAAGCAGGCTGAGGACAGCCCCAAGTGCCTTCCAGGCTTTTCCTTGCTTGGGAGTCGGGCATCCTTGTGTATAAAACACAGGAGAAGCCTGGGCCCGTGAGCCTCAAAGGTTCCCAGGAGCCCTGGAATTTTGCAGAGGTGCCTCAGGGATCTAAGCACTATTTGCGCAGATCAGTTCTATGTTGAAAAAGTTTGTTAATTATTTGACATTGTTCAGTTCTGTTGCTAAAAACAGTTTGAAAACCAGGGGGCCTAGATGGCTTCAGCAAGCACTGGCAACAGTCGGTGATCTTTGATTTTGTCATTGTGGCGTCATCTCAAGATGGGGATCTGACTTGTCCATATTTGTCTTTGAAAGAGAGCTAGGAATTTGGACTCTTGCTTCATCTTGAAAGTTCATCAAAACATCCAGGTGAGAGGGGGCAGATCCTTTGCGCCCATGGCTTATGGAGCAGAGATATGTGAAACTTGCACCTGGGATAGAATGTTATGGGTTCAAGCACTGACTGTGGGAACATGAGGAAGGAGCAATCCCATTACTCACTTATTCATTTAGCAAGCATTGTTGAAAGTTTATGATGTGTCCAACTCTGGGGATCAGGGAAGACAACCTGGAGGAGGTGGTATTTGAGCTGAGCCATGAGGGATGTGTAGGATTTCCACAGGTGTCACAGGGAGGTAGGGAGCTGAAGCACACACACAAAGGCCCGACTGTGCCCACATGGTGACATAGTAGGAAGTTAATAGCGTGTGATGTGCCAGTACCTAGGGGGAATGGGGAGCTGGGATGAAAGAACAGGTGGAAAAGCAGGATGAAGTCAAAAGAAGAGGGCCTAAGATCTTAGGCTGAGGATCAGGATTTTAGTCTTCGGCACTGGGGAACCATGGCAGTTTCATGGGGGTGGGGGTTTACAACTCACAGTTTTTTAAATTAAAATTTGTTTTTCTTTAACTATGACACAGCCTCAGGAGGTCCTGAGAAGATGTGCCCCCTTATTTGTTTACTTATTTAATATGCTCACTGTTTTTTAGAAAAGCAACTTTGGTGTCAGTGAGAAGGACAGGAGGGGCCAGAGCTTAGAGGTATTTAATGGGAAAGACCGTGGTAAGCCAGACAAAGAGGGTTTAACGTGCCCTCCCTCCATTTCGGGAGAGGAGGGGATTTCTGAAGACCTACACAGCCAGGGTGGCCTTTATGTTTCTTAAGATGAATAACATATATTATGACAGCATCAGTAACAGCACAGATGGAAAAAGCCCACATGAGATGCAGGCCCTCCTCCATGCAGTTTTGACGCATTAGTCAGCTCAGTGCACCCTCATGACAGCCCTGTGAGGTATGGATCATTATTATCCCCATTTTACAGATGAGGAAACTGAGGCACACTGTTCACTGACTTGCCCACAGTCACATAGCAAGTGGAGCCAGAGTTTGGCCCTGGGTGGGCTTCTGGTTTCCCAGGCATCAGACACATTTTCAGTCATTTTTAAAACAGATCCTTTCTGTGCCAGCCAGTGTTAGGCCACGGGACTTCTTGTTCGGGCTATCAGAGCTCTACCTCTGTGGCCAGCATGAATAGCAAGGTGTTCAGTCTTGAGATATCACGAGGCACTTTTTAGCCTGATGTCCTTTGAACCTCGAGACCATGGCTCGTCATGCATACTTTACAGGAGCCCAGAGCAAGCACCCCGAGAAGGCCTTGAGTCCAGGACTGAGCCATCTGCCCAGATCCAGGGGCTGGGAAGTGTCATCCCCAGTTGGGCAGCTACTTCCCTGCATGTGCCGTCTGTCTTTGAAGAGGAGCAGAGACTGTGATCGCCAGCTCATCAACTCTGCCAGAATGTACTGCGTGCCAGGCGCATTCCATTCTCAGAAATACTCAGACGCCAGTGTCTTTGGCTGTAACAAAATAGCACAGCCTGGGGTCTTCAGAAATAGACATTTATTTTCCTATACTTCTCCAACCTGGAAATCCAAAATCAAAGTGCCAGTGGATTCGTTGTCTGGTGAGGACCGTCCTTCCGGCTTGCGGATGGCCTCTTTCTCACTGTCTGTACACAGCAGAGGGAGGAAAAGTGCAAGGGAGCAAGACACTCATCCCACCATGAGGCCACCCCCATGACCTCCGCTAACCCCTGTAACCTCCCAAAGGCCTCATCTCCAAATACCATCACATCGGGGTTAGGGCTTCAACACACCCCATCCTTGCAACAAAAATGTCATGCAACATTTTTGGAGGGGACACAATTTGGCTCAAGGTAGTTAATTATTGATGTTACCTTCATTTCATGAACAAAGAAACAGAGGCTCAGAGTTTAAGCAACTTGCCCAGGATCACACAGCCAGGAGGTGGCAGTGCTGGAATTCAAACCCAGGTCTGTCTGAATGCAGGACCCATGCTGTGCGCTCCGCCCCTCCTTCCTGCCCCTGACCATTAATGGCAGGCACCAACAGTCCAGCTGTGGGGGAGTTTGACATGATCGATGAAGGCAAAGAGGAACAAGGGGAGATGGGAGGAGCCACGGCAAGCCCAGGGCTGCTTACCTGTCCATCTACCAACCAAAAGACAGGGCAAGGTTTCACTGCAACAACCTAGGGGCTCAAGGACAAGGTGGATGATGCTGCCGTCGTGTTACAGGTAGGAACCTGTGATCGTCTGAATCCTGTCCCGACCCCTCCCTCCCTCAGGGATCTCGTAGAGCAATCCTCATAAAGGACCTGATCCAACTGAGAAACCAGAGACGGCTTTATTATTGGCTAGAATCACTCCCCAAACTCTTCCCTCCCTGTGGGGTTTGCGGTCATGTAACCTCTGCTCTGCTCGGCCTAAAGGTCCTGATGTGTTCTGTTTACTCGTGCTGCTTTGTGAGAAGAGAGGGATCACTCTTCAGGCAATCCTTCAGCGCCCTTCCCTGGGTGTTGACCTTGTTGTGTCTGGGGTAGAAAGATGAATACGACATACGTCCATGTCCTCGAGGTGCCCCCAGACCAGCAGCAGTCACAGAGGCTTAATAAACACCAGACAGTGAGGCAGGCTGCATGGAGCCACAGGACAGCTGAAGGACTTTATTCTACCTGGGGAGGTCAGTCGGGCCTCTCTGGGGCTTGAAAGAGAAAGCTCAAGGCTTTCTGGGAATGGTGAAGACCTAAGGGTAACTGGATGTGGGGCCCAAGGGGCTGGAGAGGTAGAGGCTGGAAAGGGGAGCTGAGGCCAGACCAGAAAGGTTGTGGAGGCCAGAACAGGAGCATGATCCGGCACCACCCAGGCTGTGAGCAGGCTGAGGGCCAAGGCTCACCCTGGGAGGCCCTCCCGAGGTGGAGACCACCCCGAGCGTGAGCTGAGCAGGCCTGCACAGAATCCCAACTCCCCACGTAGGTGCCTCTGTAGAGGGCTGGCGTCGAGCCCCTTGTGAGGTCGCTGTGAAATTGAAGGAGACGTGATGCTGGAGGAGCTCAGCCCAGCGTCCAGTGATCACCTCGAATTCTCTTTTCCCCTTGCAGTGGGCATAGGAATGGGTGAGTGAGGCAGCCCCAGGACCAGGGAGACCAGGAACAGAGCAGAGACTCTAAGGAACGGGATCTAACGCAGGCTGGAAGGACCCAAGCCTGGTGGGGGTTTGTGGTGTGAGAGCTAGGCCTCACCTGGGGTGCTGGGCTCTTGAGAAGAAGAAAGAAACCCTTGGAATGGAAGAGGTGCAGACATTAGTGCTGCTTTGGGTGCTGGGTGGGTGTCTGCTCGCAGAGATGATGAACAAAGGCTGCCACCAGGGGGTGGTGTGTGGATGCCGCCCCATGGGAAGGGATGCTGTCTGTAGCACTGGCCCAGTCTCGCAAGTCCCCGGCCCAGCCAGCTTTGCCTCTCCAGCTGTTGGATAACTGGGGGCCCAGGTAATCGGGGCACAGACTGCAGGCCGTGGGCATTTACCTTTGGGGGAGGCAGCTTGCACCATTAGAACAATCCATGCAGTAGCTGCCGTGGCAGCCTCAACCTTAAAAACTCTCGGTGCTCCTCTCTCCTCAGATATTTGGAAACTTTCTGTAATGCTGAAAGCAAAAATAACTCACCTCTGGGCACTAGCTCTTCACTTGGCCGAGGTTCAGAATTGTGCACACATTGGATCCTTGTTACAATATTGCAAGGGAGCCATCACTAACCCCCTTTTAAAGGCGAGGAAACTGAGGCTGAGGGAAGCCAATGCATCCAAGTTGCAGGGATGGGACACTTCCTAAAAATTCCCACTGACCTCTCCTCAACACGATCACCTGGATGTGCTTCCTGGCCACCCGACTTTCCAAGAATCCCCAGGATCTGACTACTTTTCGTGCCCCATTTAGAAGAGAACACCTGTGCCTCATGCATCCGCAAGGGTCCTTGGCCAGCTTGGTGGGTGGGATGTGAACAGAGGTGCTGATAGGCCGCATGAGGCCTGGTTTTTGGCAGCATCCCTCAGGATATTCAGTTCTTTCTTTCCCCGGATGGCAGAGAACCGTTAAATGCACACTGGACTTTGCATGAACTGGCAAGAGGTTCTTATTATCCTTAGCTGTTGAAACTCAGGGTTATCTGTGCTGTGCTGGTGCATTGATCACCATGATGAACACCACAGTAGCTAGGCTCTGTTCACTCTCTAGACTAAACCCTAACTGGTTTCTCTGTTTCCACTCTGGTTCCTACAGTTTATTCTCCACCCAAAGGCCAAAGGGATCCTTGACAAATGAAGGAAGAACATATTGTCCCTCCGCTCAAAACCCGCTGTATCTAGAAAGCAAGCCAGACTGTGGTGACCTACACGATACCCGGGGCCTTGTGACCACTCTGTCATCATTTCCCCGCTCACTCCCTCTTCTCCATTTACACAACCTTCTCCCCACTTGCTTCCCCTCAAACACACTGCACACTTTAACCTCAGGGCCTTTGTGCATGCTCCTCCTGCTGGCTGCAGGGCTCTTCCTCTGATTTTCCTGTGCACTTTCCTTTGGTTACTTCTGGCCTCTGCTCAGATGTTCCCTCTTCAGAAATGTCTTCCCTGACCAACCTATCCAAAACGGCGCCCCTCCGTCACACTTTAGCCCTCACTGAATTTACTTCTCTTCATGGTATTTAACACGAGCTGAGATATGATATATTCCTTTACTTCTTGTCCATCCTTCCCTTCACTTTAGAAAGGTCCTTGCTTCTGCAGTGTCAGCACCTAGAACAATGGCTGACACATTGTAAGCATTCATAAAGAATATCTGCTAAATGAGCAAATGGATAAATTTAAATTTAAAGTGAGTCCAAGGCAAGTCCTTAGGTCTCTTCACTCTCAAACAAATTGCCAGCTGTGAGTCTGTCCTCTGGAAAAATTCTAGGACCGCCTCCACGATGTTCACAGATGGGGACTTGGACCCTGGTCTGTGTAATTCCCGAGTATCCCTTCTTTCTGTTCCACTAGGCTGATCTGCTGCATTCTGTGAGTCGGCAAACGTTCTGTGAAGGTCCAGCAAATGTTCTGTGGAGGTCCAGATAGTGCATGGTTTTTGCTTTGTTGGCCATATGGCCTGTGTTGCAACTACTAAGCTCTGCTATGTAGAGATAAAGCATTTATAGATGATATGTAAATGAATGGGCCAGGGTCTGTGCCAATAAAATTTTGTTTACGAAATAGATGGTGGTCTAGGATTTCTCTTTCTGGCCAATTGTTGGCTAACCCCTGTGCTAGAAGTTTTAGGAAAGGGAGGAGGCTCTTGTAGATTCCTTGTGTCATTAGTCCCTCTGGGCAGAGGGCTGGCTGGCTGAATAATTAATCCACAGCCTGTGCTGCATAGCATCTAAATGGGAGCACCTAAATCTTCCTGAAGATATTTGCTTTCTAATCTCCTTCCTTTTGTTCATGTTTTGCTGATTGTCTAGGCTTTGTCCTTTCTGTTTCCGGTGACTAGCTCTAATTGGCATAGTTGTATCTTTCTGTCTATCCATCTACCTACCTGTCTGTCTAAAACATCCTGAAGTTATTATAAAAGACTGCCATATTCAGGGCTAATTTGCATACCAATCAAATGCAGCCTGAATTTTCAGACAGTCATGCATGCAAATGTGCTCATCTGAATCCTTGCAAATGGCTTCAGATTTATGCCATTGTAATCCTTGACCTTTGGTAGGAAAATGTTGCCGTGCCTGGAACCTGCTTCATTATAGTGCTAGAGTCATCTGGGATGATTGCCAGAGTTGTGCTGAAAGATGTCCTCTTGGTACCTGTGAGCACCCAGTGTCCATAATCCACCTGAGAGATTGTTGAGGGCTGGATGGAGACCCACAGACTGGAGTGGGGGGGTTCTGAACCCCAAGGGCCATTCTCTAGGGACTGAAATGGGCAGACAGGGCTGATACAGGCCTGGGTGGGGTGACGGTGCCTGGGCAAAGCATGATGATGGTGCCTAGGCAAACCCAGTGCCTGGGCAAAGCATCAAAGCTCCTCTTGCTCATGGGTGTTGTCCACAGAGCCCACAGGAAGATTATGGAAGCAGTGTTCTAAAGAAATGCAAGGTCTGTGGCAGGGTGGACAATATGGAGCCCAGACTTCAGTCCAAAAGGGCCCAACCAAGACAAAAAACAAGCCAAGGGGTGTGGTATTCAAGAGTAGCTGATCCGTGAGAAGCAACTATTGAGGTGGTGGACCTGGATGGATTCCTGACCCAGGACTCATGCACTTCCCATGACTGTAGGAGAAACCCACATTGCAATGAGCCCAAGAGAACAGCCAGCCTAGGCAGAAGGACCACTTGGGGATGGACATTAAGAAAAGTCGCCAAGAGAAAAGCACCGAAGTTGAGATAATGAGTGTGTTGAATAGGAGGCATGAGTGAAAATAAAAATGAGAAAGCAAACAGGGAATGCAGCGGTTGGGGGAACAGAAGGTGAGGTGAGAGGGACAGTTTAGGGCTAATCACAAGGATAGAGAGTGAACTTGGTGCCTGTTTGTGCAGTTCCTGGCCTGTAGCTTGGGGAAAATGCTTGGAGGCTTAGCAAAAGTTAGGATTGTACAGATCAAAGTGTCACCCAAAGCAACACTGTTCATTTGTTTCCCTGGCGTCTATTAAAGTACCTTGCACACAACTTCGCCATGACTCCTGATGCTAACTAGCCATTTAGGCCAAACTTCACAGGTTAAGAGCACAGTTGTTCACAAGACTGGCCTCACTTCAGACACCAGCGACAGGCTCAGGGGTTCCCTGAACATATGGTAACATATTTGAGGGTTCTCACTACCCCTTGTGGTTTGGTAATTTGCTCAAATGACTCACAGAGCTCAGGAAGTGCTATGCTTAGAATTACAGCTTTATTATAGCAAAAAGGATACAAATCAGAATAAGCCACAAGAAGAGATCACAGGGCAAGATCTGGAAGGATTCCAGCTCTGGTGTTCTCTCTCCACCCACAGACTGCTGTCTACCAGGAAAGCTCACCCAGGCTTCAGTGTTCCAAGTTTTTATTGGGGTTTCATCGTGTAGATGTGATTGACCAAATCATTGGCCATAAGGTTGGACTCAGTCTTTGGTCCTCCTCTCTTCCCTGGAGGTAGGGCTGATGT